GGCAGCATCCTAATTGGATTGGAGAGGGCGTTTGGGCAGATTTGAGTAGTGCTTGGGCTACCCCTGAGTTTATAAAAATGAGAGAGCAGAATAAACAGAACAGAGCCTCTGACTGCGGCGATTTAGGAAGCACTCTTCATACTGGTGGATCTGCACCTCATACAGAACATAGGCGGTGACTGGTAAGTGTTTTGAATTGGTTTATTACATATATTTATGTTAGTATAACTAAGCATCAAATTTTCAGAAAGAGCACCTTGGTCGGGAGCCAACACCATTGGAGTTGCATATAAGAACTCATCAACATCAAGCTGACCAGAAGTGGGTTGATGAGAAGTCTAGGAAGGCTCATGTGAGTAAAATTTATTGGAGTTTTAGAATAAAAATTTATTTTAATAAAACTAATTGTTACTCACAGGATGATTTCGTACGAGTTAGAGAAAGTCGGCAGTCCACTGGCGAGGGATCATCTTCTGGATCGGCCCACATTTCTGAGTATCAGACATGGTCAGAAGTTGTTGGTGGAAGACAGAGGGGGAGGGTATATGGCATGGGTTCACAGACTTTTGCTATTGAGGGCAGTACATACACCTCTACATTTCATGATCTAAGTGGAGCTGAAGAATCTGTAAGCGAGAGGGTTGCAGCGCTTACTAGAGAGATTGAGGAGATGAAAAGGGTTCAATCTAGAGAGATTGAAGAAATGAGAAAGGTTCAGAATGAAATACAAGCAGAGTTGCAATCCTACAGAGCTGAAAAATAGAGGAAGAAGGACCAACAGGAGCAGCCATCTACAGACAGTGAGGATACAGATGATGATTAGATCTATTTTATGTTTAATGATTGTATTAATTAGAACTTGTGAATTTCAGAACTTGTGATTGTAACATTATCATGAACTTACTTGTGAACTGTGATTGTAATGTTATGATGAGCTTGTGATTGTATTTATAATTTATGGTTGTGATGAATCTAGCGGCGTGTTGCCCAACATATGATTGTGATGAATATAGAGGCGTGTTGCCCAACATATATTGCTCTTTCTGCATGTTTAGAATTTAGGGTGAACCTCCCTCAAATAGAGGGGATGCTGTCAATTTTTTTTTGCAGGTGCTACAGGTTTCTGGCGGCTAACCGGCGGTTTGGCCGCCAGAAACTACGATACCGGACAGCCAATTGACAGCCGTCGGTAATGGCATCACACCGTCGGTTAATTACCGGAGGCCACCGACGGTTCTACGGCGGACATCCGGCGGTGTAGACCACCGGAAATACCGACGGTTAGACCGCCGGCTTGCGCCGGTTAGGTAACCGGCGGTCTACCGGCGAAGGCCGGCGGTTTTAAAAACATACGACGGCTAACTAAACCACAGGCAAACCGTCGGTAAACCGACCGCCGGTAGGCCGTCGATCAAATAGCCGGCGGCGTCACAGCCGGAAAACCGCCGGCATAAAATCCGGTTTAAACCGGCGGTCGTAGCCGCCGGAAAACTGCCGGCTACATAAACCGCCGGTAAAAAACTGCCAGTGATAGTTTCCTTCGCGATTTTTTCCGGCGGCACAAAAACCGCCGTAAAGCCGCCGGTAGTTAAAAAAACCGCCGGTAAATATAGGCTAACCGCCGGAAAAAACCGCCGGATTTTGGGGTTTTCCTGTAGTGTGGTCCGGCAGAGCAACGGCATCAGGCGGTGGTCCGGCGGAGGTGAGGGCCTCAAGTGGTAGTCCGGCAGAGCAACAACATCAGGAGGTGGTACGACAGAGGTGAGGGCCTCAAGCAGTGGTCCAACGGAACAACAGCATCAGGCGGTGGTCCGGCGGAGGTGAGGGCCTCAAGTGGTGGTCCAGCGGAAGTCCAGCAGTGAGTAGGAGCTTCTTCCTTCTCTTCTTCTTTCTTCTCTTCTTGTTTCCGTCCCCTCTCAAGAGAAATGAGGGGTCTATTTATAGATTTCTGGAGTGGCATGACCCGTAAAAAGGTGAGAGATCAATGTCAAATAGGGAGTGGTTCGATGGACAGCCCATATTGAATCCCTTGATCATGTACTGTTCGTTGGACATTTGAAGGTCTTAATGATGTCGGAATTCGACGATTTTGGGCTCGTTGGATTCATCTCGTCGAGCCGCTTGATTTGATTATAAGTATATCACATTTAAAAACTATTTGGTAACCAAAATTGTGGATTGAACTTTCCAATAGTGCTTCGAGTCTTTGATTCGGACTTATTTGGGCTTGGATTGAGTTGAATTTTGTGTCGTTAAGTTTGTATTTCCGAGACACTCAGTTTGACTATAAGTGTGGTGAAATCGGAGTTCTGACGATCCCAAATTTAATTTTTGAAGTTTCCAACTTGATTGTTGCCTCGAGATTCGTGCCTGATCAAGATAAAATTTTGACAATATATCAGTTGTCCCCCTATTTTCGGACATCAAAGCTCCAAAAATCCGAAAATATGTATTGAAATGCATCATAGAACCTTTGAGTCTTTTTTTATTTCCAACTTTTCATGCTTGGCATTCTTTGGTAGCAAGAGATCAACAAGAGTATCTTGCCATATAAACCAAAAAAGATAATTTGCTGATATCACGATCTACTAAACTTAATAGTTCAGCTGCAGCTCTTGGGTTAGCCCATGATGGCTTTCTAAACCATACATTGTGAAGATTTTACCAAAACCGGTTTGCCCATATGCAAATATGCAGACATTGTATCCATCAACAACACATTGTATTAGATACTTTGTGTTCGCAAAAACATCCTCTTGGGAATCATTTTGACCAAAAACACGATGATATATATGTTGCTTTGATTTCTCATCTTTTTTCTTCTTTTCACGTATATGAATCTTCTGTTCAAGCAACAATTTCTCCTTCGCGGCACTGACTTAATAGTATCTTTAGGTGCATGCAATTCATTGGTGCATATCTTCAAATCCCCTTGAAGTTTTCGTATTGTCTAGTGACTTTCTTGACGGGTAGATGGTAATCTTCTTGGCACTTGGATCTTAAGCTTCTAGTACCGGATCCCTGTTGGGACAACATTTGGAACTTTTCGGTGATTGAGCAGAATATGAGAAAATTCCATATACTTGCATTAATAAGAAGTCCGAATCCCATATAATTATAACGAAAAGGTTCTTTGAAGTGCCCCTTAGGAGGCAGTTATTTTTAGCAGTTATATATATATATATATATATATATTAAGCGGACCCTTTTTTTTTTTTAAATAGATAACAGTTTTTTTTAAAGAGCCACGCAAAGCGACTTCAACCAAAGAACCGAATTTTTTTTTATTATTGTATTTTGTTTTATTTTTTTTAAAGAATATTTCTTTTTATATTCTTATTCCAGGAATATTCTTGACATCCTTTTAGAATATTCTTATTATTTGGGAATATTCTTTCCTCCTCTACCTATAAAATGCCCCTTGAGGCAAGGGGAAAATTGCTCATTTTCTTCTTCTCTCTTTTTTCTCTAACTCTCTTACAGTTGAGGCTTTCCACTGCTTTTTGTGTGTGACTTTCCCTACTTAAATTGGTGCTTTGGAGGACAAAAGGAAAGCCTCAATTGTAAGAATAGAGGGAGAACGGGGATCTCCGGACTTTCTTGTATAGAGGAGGGGCACCCCTCTCTTTGCAAGGAAGTCTAGAGATCCCTTCTTCTCCCTATATTCTTATAATTGAGGCTTTCCCTTGACCCTGTCCAGGCATGAGGCCCCTCTCTGTGCAAGAAAGTTCTGAGATCCTCCTTTTCCCTTTATGCTTCAAGAGATCCTACAAAGTTTCGATGTTAGTCAGTTGGCAATGGAGGTTGAAGAGACTGTTGTTAGGAGGGAGGTTGAAAATAATATTGATCGGTAGAAAATCCAGTGCCGGGTCAAAATACGACGTAGGGTAGGAGTCTGAGGACGGACAGAAGTCCGACGAAGGGTGGAAATTTGGTGTCGAGTAGAAGTCCAACGATGTGCATAAATTCAATGCCCGGTAGAATTTTGACGTCGGTGAGAAGTATGGTGATGAGTAAAAGTTCAACGTCAGGTAGAAGCTCAATGAATGTCCGTTGATAGGCAGGAGTTTGAAATCGAGTAGAAGCACGGTGTTAAGTTGAAGACCGACGAAAGTCCATCAACAGTAAGAAGTATGATGACGGGTAGTAGTATGACGGCGGGGAGAAGTCCGATGTCGGATAGACGATTGACGAAAGTCCATCGATGGGCAAAGTTCAATGACGGGTAGTAGACCGATGGCAGGCAGAAGTCTGACGTCGGGTAGATTTCGGATGAAAACTCCTGCAAGGCAAAAGTTCAGCGACGAGAGAAAATTCAGCATCGGGTAGAAATTTAACTTTGTGGAGAAGTCCGATGAAAGTCCATCAACGGCATTCTGGTGACGTTAACCAAGGATGTAAGACCTATTCGAGATTTTATGTCAGAGCCTTTGCACGATAATGTTAACTTGTATTAATGATGTTAATAGGATCCACCAATGATTTAAGACCTATCTGAGGTTGTATGTCAAAGCCCTTGCTCGATGATGTTAACCAGTGTGAAAGACATTGAGAGAATCCACCAATGATGTAAGACCTATCCAAGGTTGTATGTCAGAGCCTTTTCTCGACGATGTTAACCTGTATGGAAGAGGTCAAGAAAATCCACCAAGGATGTAGGACCTATCCGAGGTTGTATGTCAGAGCCTTACTCGATGACGTTAACTTGTGTGGAAGAGGTCGAGAGAATCTACCAAGGATGTATGACCTATCTGATGTTGTATGCCAGAGCTTTTCTTGATGACATTAACCTGTATGGAAGAGGTCGAGAGAATCCACAAAAGATGTAAGACCTATCCGAGGTTGTATGTTAGTGCCTTGCTCGATGACGTTAACCTGTGTGGAAGAGGTCAAGAAAATCCACCAAGGATGTAAGACCTATCCGAGGTTGTATGTCAGAGCCTTTGTTTAATAACGTTAACCTACACGGAAGAGGTCGAGAGAATCCACAAAGGATGTAAGACTTATCCGAGGTTATATGTCAGAGCCTTACTCGATGACGTTAACCTGTATGGAAGAGATCGAGAGAATCCACCAAGAATGTAGGACCTATCCGAGGTTGCATACCATAGCCTTTACTCGATGACGTTAACCTGTGAGGAAGAGGTCGAGAGAATCCACTAAGGATGTAGGACCAATCCGAGGTTGTATGTCAGAGCATTTGCTATATGACGTTAACCTGTATGGAAGAGGTCGAGAGAATCCACAATGGATTTAAGATCTATCCGAGGTTGTATGGCGGAGCCTTACTTGATGATGTTAACCTGTGTGGAAGAGGTCGAGAGAATCCATAAAGGATGTAAGGCCTATCCAAGGTTGTATGATAGAGCCTTTACTCGATGATGTTAACCTGTGTGGAAGAGGTCAAGAGAATCCACCAATGATGTAAGACATATTCGAGGTTGTATGTCAGAGCATTGCTCGATGACATTAACCTGTGTGGAAGAGAATGAATCGAATCCCCATGTGATTGATTTTTTCTTGATTGGGAGGGGGCAAATGCCGTGTGTATTCCAAATTAAAGGTAAATAAGGGTCAATCTTTAAACCGTTACTGACTTTTTGAGGTCGAGATCAAGACCTTGCCCAAGAAGTAAAAATTTAGTATGGGACTGTATGAAGCTTATTATTGATCGAAAGTATCCTTGTATTTGATGAGATTTTTTTAAAATAACATCTTGATCTTGGAAGTATTGGAGGGATCTTCTTGACCATAGATGGAGTC